TTGAGTAGCAAATCTATGAAAAACACGATGACCTCAAAATCTGTGAGGTCTAAACATGTTCAGGACATTCTATACACTTCTGCATTAATTAAGAATCTGGGGCCTGCCACCTAAAAAATAACCTTTACGCAAACCTTCTGTTAAATTTGGGTTTGATTCCCCTGTCCAAAAAAAAAAAAAAAAAAAAAAAGAGAGAAAGAAAAGCAGCTCAGCCAACTTCCCCTTCCTGTCTCGGAGCTGGCTGAGCCCCTTGTGCTGCATCTTCTACCAGTTCAGACTTTGCTATTTTTCTGGTCCAGAAAGTCCTCCACAAAACAGAAAAGCACAAAAGCACAAAAAAAGTGAAATAAATCCACTTCTATGTACCCAAAAAAGCAGATACCATACTCTTCCCTAGTCTGTTTGCAACAAAACCTTCAAATCTTAAAGAATCTGATTATGGAGAGGCTGCCTAGGTAATTCCTGTGAATGAAATTTACAGCAACGCTGACATTTCCAAACTATGCCAGATGCCATACACACACTCCCTAGGTAAATAATGACAGTAATTGACTCTTAAAAATGTTTATCCCGTGAGAGGTAGAAAGAAATACGAGAGATTCTCTTAAAGAAAAGGCTGGGGACGGCTCCAGCCCTTGGCAGTGATAAACAGTGCCTCTCTTCCCCCTTTTTTCCTGGATAGAAGCCCAAGCCCACCCCCTGCTCCAATTCCTCTTAACAAAGGACAGAGCACAAATGCAGAAGACCACTGTGGGCTGATCATTTCGTTCGGTTCCACTTGGAAAGAAAACATTTTAAAGGAACAGAGACAATAAAGAGGAGAGAAAGTGGGATGTGAGAATGAGAGAAGGATAAATGGGAGAAAGATTTGGGGAAGAATAAATTCTGTTTCTGTTCTCTATGACTTTTCTCCAGGTGTGTACAATAGGTATGGACATTGATAGAATTATTTTACATGAGTGTAAAGTTAATATTGCTGCAGAAAGGAAGCCAGAACACTGTAAGATGAAGAAGGCATTTCACCAATGCTTGTCTGCTTGGGGAAAAGACTGAACAGGCCAAAGAATTTCCTTCTGTTGGAGATCAGCCTGAAGAGACTTTCTGGGCTGGGGAGCTGCAGGATGGTTTTCACACCACAAAGGGCTCGCCCAGGGGTCTGGCAGGTCCATCAGAGCCCCTTTCCTGCCTGGAATGCATCCAGGCTCCCTGGCCCCAGCCTGCTGCAATCTCCTCTGCATGGGGGAACAAACCTGCAGCTCCTCTGCTGGAAACACACGGGCAAGGGCTCAGTTTGTGTGGACACACACGTTTAGAGAGCTAAGGAATTCCAGCTTGGGAATTCTCTCCAGGCCTGGATTTCTCCTGACTCTCAGCTCCATTCCCAGGCTGACAAGCTGACTGCAGCTTCAGTTAGGGAGGAGTCTCCCAGGGTGACAACACGGTGACAAACAGAGTGGAATTCATCACCAACATCAACCCCTGGTGTCTTTCCCGTGGGACACATCCTGAGGTGCTGTCCCAAGGATGTTTTTCCCAATTGTCCAATGAGCTCCTGTCCTGTCCTGGCTGCACTGACACACTTTAAATCCGGGCTGGCTGTACAATAAATTGGCCTTTTTCCCCTAAAGAAATCCGTGTGTGTTGCTGTCCTTTCTCTCTCCTTTTAGTGCAGTGACCACAAGTTTGCACAGTATCAGCTGCAGCAAGCCCCGAGATTTAGGGTTAGCTGCTGATATTGGAATTTCCACTCTCATTGAAAACAGACACTGCTGTATCCATAGAGTTTCCAGGAGAAAAATATACAAAGCAAGCCTGAATCGTCTATTGATTTTAAAGCACGTGCAGCTCAGTGAGAAACAGCAGAATTGTTCATGATTTAGGTCATAAAAATGCAAGATAAACCCAGAGGAATCCACAGCAAATGAGAGAAACAAAAGAGATTGGCTTTTGGTCCATGCTACTCCATTCTCTATGCTATAAAAAAACAAAACCAAAACTTTCAAGTACAGAAAATATTTAGTTGCCTAAGTAAAATTCTAAACATGGTACTATCTATAAAACTATGCAGGTAAGAGGATTTGAAGAACAACCATAGAGGTTCTTCTAGTCCCATAGTAATTTGTAGTTTGACTGGGAGTTTCTTTCAGGTGGGTCCGGTTTTTAAAGTATTCTGCCTAAATATGTCATCCTTTGTGTCATAAATAGATGTGTACATATATTTAAACAAATTTTAGAAGACACTAAGTGAATGTGATTAATTGTTCTAAATTCAGATTTATTATTTGAGTAGCAAATCTATGAAAAACACGATGACCTCAAAATCTGTGAGGTCTAAACATGTTCAGGACATTCTATACACTTCTGCATTAATTAAGAAGCTGGGGTCTGCCACCTAAAAAATAACCCTTAGGCAAACCCTCTGTTAAATTTGGGTTTGATTCCCCTGTCCAGAAGAAAAAAAAAAAAAAAAAGGAATATACAGAGATTATTAAAAGACCTCCTCTCTCCTCATTAGTTGATTTCTTTATTGAAAAGCTTGTGATTAGTTGATTAATAAGATATTACAGAAACTACTTGCAGTTTCTTGAATCACCTTTCTAAAGAAGGTTGGCTCAGGCAAACAAAGTAAAGCAGACCAGAGAGCTACCTACAATCCAAATGTGAAAAAGAAGGAGAAGCTCTGTGTGTCTGAAATGCTCACAGAAACTGAACTCCAGACTCAGTTCTGAACCAGAGGGAAAATGTCTGGCCTGCTCCTGGCTGACTCATGCACTCTATCCCAGGTACAGAGCCAAAGCAGCACAGAGAATTCCCAGCAGACTCATTTCCAGGCAAGAAATGACTCTTTGGAAGAGCTCAGGGCTACGGCAGAGAATTATCAGGTGAGAGTGAGGTGTCTGTCCCAGTGCAGGCATGGCATGGAGCTCCGTGGAGGCTCCCAGGGACTGTGACAGATAAAACTGCCTCAAAGTCATGTCCTGAGTCACTCTGCCCAAGTTCTAATGAGGAGCCACTCTGTAGAGCAGAAAAGTTTGGTGTTTTTAAGAAAGAAAACACCCAAGTGTTTGCTCGTGGTCCTTATGGTGCCTGCATTCCCAAGTCAGGGACCATGGAGTTACATCTCCTGGGTGTTCTGCTCTCTGTTTAAAGTTATTTGCAGTTTGCACCAGTTTACACCTTCCCTATTTGTCACTTAGTCTAGCTGCTAGGGGTTTACAGATTTTTCTATTCCTTGTTCCTAATTATTGTTAGAGCCATGAGAGAGATTATTTGACTGAGCTGACTGAGATAAATGAACCAACTCTTCATCCTGAGCACAAAACTCTCCAGCCTGGAGCTGCCTCCACTGATGAGTTAAAAACTTGCCACCCAGCTGTTCTGACTGCTAATACATCAATTACAAACCATGTCATTTATGACTAGGGCTGAAGCTGAACGTGTGATGATAAAAAGCCCTGCAGTAAGACAAGGGCTCCATGATGTTATGAATTATCTGGCAGTTCTCTCTGCACGATCCTGGCTGGATTGCAATCAGCCAGTGCAGAAATGCAGAGGACCTTTCTCCCTCTGGAGCCGTGGGGAGTGCTGCCATTTATTTCAGAAGGAATAGAATCAGCTCCAAACCCTTAATTTGTGCATTACTTAATCTCTGCACTGAGAGCTAGTTGGCTGACACTTGGATTTGGAAGTCAAAAACTCTCTCCTGAAAGAAACCTGAGGTGCAAGAAACCTTTGCCATAATTTGGGCAAAGTTCAGCACGTTTGTGATTGCTGGAGTCTGATCTGGCACCTCTCAAGAGCTACACTGTGTTTGATGAATGAGATTCTAATTGAATTCAAGCAAATAAATCACAGGTTACCAAGCAAACTGAAATGTTCTTACACATTTCCTATCTTACAGAGAGAAAAAAGAAACAAGACACAGACAATCAGTCATTTTATATCCACACTCTGCTTTTTATAGGGAAGCAGGACAGATCTGTTTTATTACAATTGGATGTTTATTGATAGAACATTAAACCTCAGATATTTCTTTTTCCTTGTATCTCATATTCATAAGAAAAGAAAGAGGGTGGGCGCAAAAAATATATATGTAACTACTACTAACAAAATCATTTGTTTTTCCAGAATTTATAAAAGTTTTTGATTTTTTGTTTCTCTTCTAGGGTTTTGAACTCTACTTGTGTTAGAGGGGGAACAGCCTTAACCATGTGGCTCATCCCAAAGCCTTCAGAGTTCTTGAGTCAAGCACTTAAGATCAATACATTTCTTTAATAATCATGAGGTGTTGATGATGATGTTGAAATTTTTATTTGGATTTGGGGTGCATAGATTTCATATTTCCTAGCAGAAATGTCAGAGGGAGAGGTTTTCTTCTTGTACCAAATGACAAGGATCTGAGGCATTCACAAGATGAAGTTAAGCTTCTGAGAAACACAGCAAATATTATTATCACAATAATAAAATCATTAGATTGAACAGAATCACTTTGTAAACTTTTTTTTTTTGTTAACTGTGCTGAACTTTTATTTTGAAAATAGCCATCCTGGTTTTTGTTTTTTAAAAACAGAGGGGCCTTATTCAGCTATCCAAACTGATAAGGGAATGTGCTGGCCACCTGAAATTCTGCATTCACAGATGCTTTCTTAGTTCTGATTGAATAATTATTTCATTAGCCGAGGGAGCTAATTGAAACACAAATACTTCCCAAATCATAAAGGACCTTCCCTGAGCTTGTTACAAGTAAGAAACAGCTAACAATAATGACAAGGGAGATTAAACTCTATGGTTG